TTTTTGAGATAGGATCTTGTTAAATTGCTGAGGCAGGTCTGGAACTTGGGATCCTCCATCTTACTCGCTGGTCGCTGACATTACAGGCGTGTGCCGCTGTGCATGGCATTTGCAAGCAATTCTTTTTTTCTTTTTTCTTTTTTCCAATTTTTTTTTAGTTGTCTATGGACACAATACCTTTACTTTTTTTTTTAGGACTAATGTTAGCACTCCATCTTGGCAAGTACATTAGGAGATAGAAATCACTTTTTAGGCTGGGTACAGCAGTGCATGCCCATAATCCCAGTGATTCCAGAGGCTGAGGCAGGAGGATTGCAAGTTCAAAGCCAGCCTCAGCAACTGAGAGAGACTCTTAAACTTGGCAAGACCCTGTCTCCAAATAAAAATTTTTTAAAAGTTTGGGGATTTAGCTCAGCCATAAAGTGACCTTTGTTTGGGTGCAATCCCTGTTACCAAAACAAGAAAAAAGAAACACACACACACACATATGTATGTATTTTTTAGTTGTAAGTTGACATAATATATTTATTTTATTTATTTATTTATATGTGGTGCTGAGGATTGAACCCAGGGCCTTGCATGTGCTAGGGGAGCGTTCTACCACTGAGCCACAACCCTAGCCCCACACTTTTTAAGTTAGAACAGTGCATAGCACAGTAGTCATTAAAGTCACTCATGTGTAAACAAACATAACATGGAGCAAAAGAGTATTGTATTATAAGATTCCATTTGTATATATACTTTAATATTAATAGCTCATTTCATATAATGTAATGTATCCCAAGTGGGATTGTTTTGGCATGTCATTGTCACAGGGCATGGGCCTGCTGCCAGGCTAAGACAGCCTTGGCAGTCCTTTCTCACCCTGATTCTTGCCATCAGGCCAGAAAGATTTCATTACAGACATACCACTCAGATAGCGGGCATGAGTTTTATTAGAAGGGATTGAAAAAGGGAAGAGGAGCACTCCCAGAGGTGGAGGACCGCATCGCTTGCCCCTCCCCACTCCAGTTGTTTGTTTTGTGCTGGGGATTGAACCTGGGGCACTCTACCACTGACTATCCCTAGTCCTTTCATCATGGGAAAAGAAATGTCTCCAGAGAAGGGTCGTAGGAGTCTCAGAGGGAAGTGGGAATTCAACTCAGGGCCAGAGGGGTTGTTGGCATACCTGACAGAACAGAATTTCAGCATGAGCCAGACAAAGACATAGACAGAGGTTTATTTAGGAAGTAGGTACACATTCAAAGGAGAAGTGGGCTATCTCCAGGGTGAGAAACCCAGCCTGTGTTGGGAGTCCAGTACTTAAAAAAGGGCTGTATCCGGGGCCGATCTGGAGCCAGGGTGGAGCTGCACTGTTTCATGCCAGTTTTCCCTGCACTTGTGTATTTCCCTCATTTTACAAGGGTATGGGCCAAATGCCTGCTTTTTCAAGATTTGCAGCTCAGTTTTCTGAATCTCAATGGCTCAAGGAGGTTTCCTTTAAGACTTAGTATCTCTCTCCATGCTAAATCGCTATCTCACTTTTTTTATTTTTTATTGAGACAGAGTGTCACTAAATTGCTGAGGCTGACCTCAAACTTGCTATCCTCTCGCTTCAGCTTCCCCAGTCACCTGCCCTCCTGTCTTCTTGGTGGGTCCCAGGGAAAATTCTAAAATCCCACTCAAATTCGCCTCTTGACTTTTGACTGACAGAAGGATGACATCAGACTTTCAAGTTTCCACTGTTTGTGACAACTCTAGTTCGCTTTGGCCCATGTTTACCAGTTCTGATTGAAATGTGTCCCTTTTTTGGCGGGGGATTAACTGGAGATTGAACTCAGGGGCATTTGACCACTGGGCCACATTTCCAGCTCTATTTTGTATTTTATTTAGAGACAGGGTCTCACTGAGTTGCTTAGCATCTTGCTGTTGCTGAGGCTGGTTTTGAACTTGTGATCCTCCTGCCTCAGCCTCCTGAGTCATTGGGATCACGGGTGTGTGCATCATGCCTGGCTGAAATCTTCTGTCCTTATAGATTTTATGGGTAGGGGGAATTATCCTTATCTCCCTGAGCTCTGGGATCTGGTCTATGTATAGGTCACAAAAATCATTCCCACTTTCAGGGTAACGTGGTTTTTTTTTTTTTTTTTTGGTGGTGGTGGTGGGGTGGAGAACCAGAGGGACTTTAATTGCCAAGAGTACAGGATAAAGGAAATCCACACCTATAATACCAGTGGCTCCAGAGGCTGAGGCAGGAGGCTGAGGAGCTCAAAAGCCTCAGCAGGTTAGCAAGATCCTGTCTCCAAATAAAATATGAAGAGGGCTGGAAATGTGCCTTAGGGGTAAAGTGCCCCTGGGTTCAATTCTCATTATTCCCCCACCAAAAAAAACAAAAACCAAAAAAAAAAAAAAAAACCATGTGAGAATGTTTTAATATTCATGAGGGAGTTTGATGAAAGCCGTAGGTAGTATACACGCCTGCAGAAGCTCACAATACTGAGTGTCGAGGGTG